CAAAAAAAAAAAAAAAAAAGGAAAGGCCAGGCATGGTGGCTCATGCCTGTATTCCAGCACTTTGGGAGGCTGAGGCGGGAGGATTGCTTGAGCCCAGGAGTTCAAGACCAGCCCGGGCAACATAGCGAAACTTCATCTCTACCCAAAATCAAAAAACTTAGGCCAGTGTGGTGGCACGTGTCTGTGATCCCAGCTACTCGGAAGGCTGAGGCAGGAGGATGGCTTGAGCCCAGCCGGCGGAGGCTGTGGTGAGCCGCAATCGTGCCGCTGCACTCCAGCCTGGGCGACAGAGTGAGACCCCAACTCCAAAAAGGAAAAAAGAAAGAAACCGCCATCTTACTCAAACCACCGTAGGAGGGGTTTCCTCTTCTTTCCCCATCCTGCCCAGAGTCTGTCACCGCCCCCCCCCGCCCCGCTCTGGCCATGAGGCCGCATCCCGGGGCTCACGACGCGGCCTCCCTGCCGCCCTCCTGCCCCCGTGGCCGTACCTGCATCTTCTGGCAATCGGGGAAGTCACCGGGTGAGATGTGATGCTCCAGCTGGATCTTGGCGAAGATCACGGGCAGCTTGAGAATTAGCTGCTTCTTCTTGTTTTCTTTCCCAAACACGGACGGCATCTCCTTCTTCAGGTAGCTGATGATGTACGCGTGCACCTGGAGGGGGGGGTGGGGAGGGTGACCCTGAGCCTGCGCCGGGGCCCTGGGAGCCGGAGACGGGGGCTGCAGGGCCACACCCAGAGCCCCCATGCTCGGGTCTGGTGGAGTATGAGAATGGAGATTTCTATTTATCTATTTATGTGTTCGTTTATGTATTTAGTCAGGATGGGTCTCGCTCTGTTGCCCAGGTGGGTCTCAAACTCCTGGGCTCAAGCAATCCTTCCGCCTCGGCCTCCCAAAGTGCTGGGATGACAGGCGGTACACAGGGTCTGGGTGGGGTGTGAGAATGGACGTTTTACAATTTTTTTGTAAAGATGGGGGTCTTGCCATGTTGTCCGATCTGGCCCTGAACTCCTGGCCTCAAGTGATCCTCCCATGTCAGCCTCCCAAAGTGTGTTCTAATAAGTTCCAGGGGCCGCTGGGGGTCACCCCAGCTCCGACTCTCTCTTAAGTGATCTCGGCCCCTACCGCTTTTAAGTACCCCTCCAAGCCGGCCACTCCCAAATTCACATGCCAGCTGAACATTCCTAGACAGCTCCAGCTCGTGATGACGCCCTGCATGGAATCTGAGCCCAGCACCCCCTCAGCCGCTGTGCCCAGCTCAGGAATCAGCTGGGGAGCTTGATGTCCACCATCCAGGTCTTGGCCTTGGAGCCGCTCAGCTTGAGATCAGAAATCAGGACATCATTCTTTTTGTTTGTTTGCTTTTTGAGTTGGAGTTTCACTCTTGTCACCTAGGCTGGAGGGCAGTGACACGCTCAGGGCCACTGCAGCCTCAACCTTCCAAGTAGCTGGAACTATAGACACGCACCACCACGCCCAGCTAGTTTTTTGGTTTATTGTAGAGACGAGGTCTCGCCATGTTGCCCAGGCGGGTCTTGAACCCCTGGGCTCAGGCAATCCTCTCGCCTCCACCTCCCAGTGCTGGGATTACAGGTGTGAGCCACCATGCCCAACGGGACATCATTCTTACTTAATTTTCTGGTGGGCGGGGGTAGAGACGGGATCTCGCTCTGTTGCCCAGGCAGGTCTCGAGCTCCTGGCCTCAAGCGATCCTCCCACCAACACAGGGATGACAGGTGTGAGCCATCACACCTGGCCCTGTCGTCCTTCTCGCCTGGGTCCTCCTCTGCTCTCCCTGGCCACATCCAGTCTGCCCATGAGCCCTTTTCCTTCTGCCCCCCACATTATCTGCTGCTTTTCTTCGCTCTCCACCCCAGGGGCCACCTTGTCGATCTGAGAGTCTTCCTCTCCCACCAGGGTGCCGCCCTGGTGGCCGGACAGGCTTGTCTCCATGAAGTAGCCCGCCAAGGCGGGAGGGGGAGCTCAGGAATGGACACCAACCCGGGAGATGCCGCTCAAGACTCTCAGCCCCGGCAACCCCTTCAGGTCCTTTCCCACTGTGGGAGCTTTTCTGTCCTCTTAACAAATCCTGCTTTCCAAAAAAAAAACCACCAAAAAAGGTTCTCGACTTGCCTCTTATCCCAAGTTCAAGCTTCCTGCTGGAACCTGCCAGGCCCTCCAACAGCGATTCTCAAAATGGGTGCCAAGGAACCCCGGGGGCATTTCCCCTCAAGACCCCTCACAGATTCCCATGGTCAGAACTGTTCTAGCCACGACACTAAGATGTCTTTTGACTTCTTCTTTTTTGAGTCAGAGTCTCACTCTGTCGCCCAGCCTGGAGTGCTGTGGCACCCTCACGGCCACCGCGGCCTCGACCTGCCGGGCTCCAGCAATCCTTCCGCCTCAGCCTGCCAAGTAGCTGGAACCACAGGCATGCACCACCACATCTGGCTAGTTTTTTTGATTTACTGCAGAGACGAGGTCTCGTCAGGTTGCCCAGGCGGGTCTCAAACCCCTGGGCTCAGGCAGTCCTCTTGCTCTGGCCTCCCAGGAGTGCTGGGATGACAGGTGTGAGCCACGGTGCTCGGCTCATCTCTTTTGTGTGTGTGCGATACGGAGTCTCACTGTTGCCCAGAACTCCAGAGCTCAAGCAGTCCTCCCGCCTCAGCCTCCCAAGGTGCTGGAATGACAGGTGTGTGCCACCACGCCCAGCCTCCGTTTTTCTTTATCACCACTTATTTACTTCTGCCAGCGTTCTACAAGGAAAGGAACCTCTTCTTGTTCCCCACTGCATCCCCAGGACATGTCCGGGCGCTCAGTGAATTCCCTGGGAATTTTGGTCTGAAGATTCAGAGCGTCTGGGCCTCTTTAGAGCTGGTCGCTCCGAGATCTCGGCGTCAAGGATCACAGTGTCATGGGCCGGCCCCTTCTGAAGGGCAGAACCAAAGGACCCATCCACACTCGACGTCGTATAGGCGGGGAAACTGAGGCACCGGGAAGGGGCTGGTTCCCTTGTACCGGGGAGCGCATGAAGGGAGGCAGACAGTGTGGCTATTACTGGCCACTGGCCCAAGCGTGGCAGACTCATGGGGACTGGTGGGGGGTGACATGGGACGGAGCTGCGGTGGCACAAGGCTGGGTCAGGTGGGCCCTGAAAGCCAAGCTCCCAAAATCCTTGGCGGCCCTAGGGAGCCAAAGATGAACCTGGGGGAAGACGGGGAGGGCGTGCCCAGGGGATCCCAGGGACCAAGCAGGACAGGGGTGGGGCCAGGAGGGCGGGGCAAAGGGGACCCAGAAGACGGGAGGCGGAGGGCGCTGATGGCTTTTCCAGAGAGGAAGCGGGGGAAGGTGCCAGGAAGAGATAAGGGGGAGGGAGGGCCAGGCCGCGGTGCGGGCTCCGGGGTTTGTCTGGGTTTCCGGAGCCGCCTCGCGCCAGGTGTCCACCCAGCCCTGCCCCTCCGGCCCGGGTCCGGGGCTCAAGGGCCTGGGGGATGCAACGGGGGGGGGGGGGGGGGGGGGGGTCTGAGAAGATTGAGGAGAGAGAGGGAGAGATGGGGAGACGGAGGGAGACCTGGAGAGACAGGGAGAGATGGAGAGACAGAGAGATGGAGAGACAGAGAGAGATGGAGAGACAGAGGGAGATGGAGAGACAGAGGGAGAGATGGGGAGATGAAGGGAGAGATGGTGAGACAGGGAGAGACAGAGGGGGGAGAGATGTCAAGAGAGGAAGAGATGGAGAGAGGGAGGGACGGATAGAGTGACAGGGAGGGAGAGATGGAGCCCGGCCTGGCCAACGGGAGACATATTTCTACAGAAAAATGAAAAACGTAGCCAGACGTGGTGGCCTGCACCTATAGTCCCAGCTCCTTGGAAGGCTGCGGCGGAAGGATCGCCGGAGCCCAGCAGGTCGAGGCCGCAGTGGCTGTGAGCGTGCCCCTGCACTCCAGCCTGGACGTCAGAGACCCTGACTCAAAAAAAAAAAAACTGGATGATGAGGTAAAAATGGGGACTGATATATAAAGAGAGAGAGAGCCGGGTGGGAGAAGCAAAGGTGGAGTCTGCAGGTTCTGGCCTCCGGTCCCAGGGCGGCTCCCTCGGAGGATTCCTGGGGGGGGGGGCTGTGACTCACCCTCTCTCCTTGAACCAACACCTCGGCCTCCACCCCCAGAACCTCTTGGCCTCGGGCCTGCCCAGCTTCCTGCCCCCCTCCACTTTGGCAGCCGCTCCTGTGAATGTTCCACTCGGCCTCCAACCCGCTCTTCAACGGCGCCCTGGCCCTCCGCTCCCTCCCCAAGGCCTTTCCCCATCCCGCCTCCTTGAACCCACCCTCCAGGAGGCAGCTCGAGTGGAATCCTGCCTTGCCCCTGCCCCGAACCCTTCCAGGGCTCCCCATTGTCCTCGGGACAGAGCACGGTTTCCCAACACAGCCCACGCAGGCCCGGGGTCTGACTTCCAGCCCAGTCCCCAGCCTCCGTTACTGAGTGACTCACACTGTCCACACCTGGATCTACACTGCGGCTTTCCCTCCGATGCCCTCTGCTCCAAGAAGTCTTCTCTGATTCCCCAGGCTACCTGGCCTCAACCCAGACCTTGCCGGTGGGCCCTCCTTGCCTCGGGGTGCCTCTCTCCTGGCCCCGGACTGCCTTGGTTATGACGAGCAGGAGACTCAGCAGGGCAGGGTGGGCACAGCCTTGGTCACTGCTGTGTCCCCAGCACTCCCCAACATAGGGCCGGGCATAGAGGAGACTTTGTTAAAGGTGAGTACCTTTCCAAGGTCATCCATCCAATAAACATTGACAGAGCACTCACTCAGTTCCAGACACTAGGGACACCTCAGCAAAGGAATTCCCTGACTCTGGAACTTAACCTTGAGTCAAGGGGATGGTAAACACAGAAGCCTGGGTAGCACAAGGTCAGGTGGTGAAGACATGACAGGGAAATTACAATGGAGTAAGGGGTGAAACAGGCCCCACGGGGCGGGGGGGGAGGGAGTGAGTTGCATGCAGGGCCAGCCTTCCTGAGCAGGGGACATTCCAGACTTGAAGCTCGGACCTGTAATCCCGCACCTTTGGGAGGCTGAGGTGAGCGGATTGCCTGAGCCTGCGGGTTCGAGACCCGCCTGGGCAGCGAGACCTCATCTCTACAATAAATCAAAAAATCAGCAGGGCGTGGTAGTGCATGCCAGTAGTTCCGACTGCTTGGAAGGCTGAGGTGGAAGGATCGCCGGAGCCCAGCAGGTCGAGGCTGCAGTGGCCGGGAGTGGCCACTGCACTCCAGTCTGGGCGACAGAGGGAGACTCCAACTCAAAAAAAAAAGGGCGAGGAGTGAGCTGGGCGGTGGCCACACGGGAGGGGGAGGATGCTTCCAGGGGCAGGGAACAGCACACAGCACGTGAAAGGCCCTGAGGTAGGACTGAGGGCGCTGGCGTGAGGCCCAGAGGATGACGGGAAGGGAATGGGAGGTGAGAACACAGAGAGAAAGGAATGAGGAAGGGGGACAACTTGTGGGCCCCTCGTGGGGGACGGTGCGTTGAGAGGCACACAAGACGTGGGATGGCCTGGTGACAGAAGACAACTGGAGAACAAGACAGAGGGGGAGGGCGACCTGGCGTGGACAGAACAGCAATGGCTAGGCCGGCGCGGTGGCTCACACCTGTCATCTCAGCACTTGGAGGCCAAGGCCGGAGGAGCGTTTGAGCCTAGGAGTTCGAGACCCGCCTGCGCAACCTAGTGAGCCCTCGTCTCTACAATAACTCAAACTATTAGCCGGGTGTGGTGGCGGTCATCCCAGCACTTGGGGAGGCCAAGGCCGGAGGATCGCTTGAGCTCGAGACTGGCCTGGACCACACAGCAAGACCTTGTCTCCACAACCAATCAAAAAATTAGCTGGGTGTGGCGGCTGTCATCCCACACCTTGGGAGGCCAAGCCTGGAGGACCGCTTGAGCTCGAGACCA